TAAGACCCAAGAATTTGCATCACAAGTTCCCAAGAACTGCTGCTGCTGGTAGTCAGGGGGCCACTCAGACCACTGCCTTTGATCACTACTCTAATTGGATCCCTTGCCATAAAAAACGACGTGCCAGGGAGGCTCTCTCCAGGAAGTAGAATCTCCCAACTGGTTCCAGTGAAGGCACTTGAATGAAAGAACTTCTTTCTCACAGAGGCGTAGGAAGGGTTAAAAGAATCTGAGGCCCCGCAAAGGCTGAGGACAGGGGGAAACTGTTGCCAGCCTTGGGTGGGAAGGAGGAAAGGGTAGGAACAGTGTTCTGAAGCCTGTAAGAGCAGTAGCCGTGACAATGGAGCCATGGTTGCGGATAAGAGGATGAAGCCACTGCCAGAGATGTGGACAGAGACAGGGAAGGAGCAGGGCAGAAACACGCTGACCTCTCTCCTCCCTCCGACTTCCAGCTGGTGCCCACCATTGCTGATTCAGAAGGCTAGGGAGCCTGGGGATGCCGTTCTAAGGAGTCAGTCCCTTGGGGCACAGAGCAGTGATCTGGGGAAGATGGGGAAGGAGAGGATGCAGGTGATGGATTCTCCAGCACAGAAGGTAACTGTCAAAATATTCTTCAGGTCTGCCTAGGAACAGCTGAAGATCTGAGCCCTCTCATTGGTTTAAACAATTAACAAGTGTTAGGAAGGTATTAAGGACACATCAGCACCAAACAGAGGCTCTTTTGATTGAGCTGATAAGATTTTTTAAAATAATGGAAAAGCAAATAGTATTTTCACTCTTTGATTCTGACAATTGCACGTTGTGGCTCTTCATACTTCATACCACCTCTCTGCTGGTGCGAAACACAGATTTGTAGATGCGCTCCTCCTCACTTCCCCCAGCAACCCCCCACCCCAGTGTTACCCACCTAGGGTACTTATTCATCAGCCCCCACCCGGCACTGGTTGAGGGCTACTGCTGCCAGGTGGAGGGCAGGGTGGTATCAGCTTCCCAGCAGGTGGAGGGTGGGCTGGGGTGACCAGGGCAAGCCCTGGGGCCGAGAGGTGCTGGCAGATGGCAGGGGCACTGAAGTATTGTGGGCAGGGATGGGTGGGGCACCCACAGTGTCACTATACCCTCAGAGCCCGCTCCCCATTCCTCCCCCTAAGTACTGAGTTTCCTGAGGGTTCTACTCCCACCCTTTTCTCTTCTGCGCTGCGTGATTTTTACAGGCCTCCGTCTCTTGAACAATCGCAGCAAACATTTAGTGAGTGCTTACATCTTGCCAGTGCCCCCTCCTCCCTGTCTGAGCTCTAGCTGCATTCTGGGCATCCCCACTGGAGGTCTTGAAGCTGCTGTAGACCCTGCATGTGCAGGAGTGACCTCACTGACTTCCTGCCTTAGCATCGTCCCATTCTCACTGAGGAACATGACTGTCCGCTCAGTTGCTGTGTTTCCAGCACTGGACTCTTCCCTCTCCTTTGCCTCTGCATTTGTGGATTGGCTGTCCACTGAGCCCACCCCTCTGGAGTTATCAAGTTCCCCACTCGCCCTCACCCCTGACATTGCCACGTCCCAGGCCATCACCGTCTCTCCATGGAACGCGGCCAAAGCCTGCAGTGGGACTCCGAGCCAGGCCCCCTTCCAGAGTGAGGCTCCTGGCACGTCTTTCCCTTGCTGAGGCCTTTAGGAATACACCTGCCTCTGCAGCGTGGGTCAGCCCGACCTTCCCCAGCCTGGCTCCCAGCATCCTCAGACCCATATGCTCTTCCCTGTGGCCTCCTTCCCCACCATACCTCGTGGCCAGCTCCACTTGGGGTCGGTGAGAACCCCCTCCCCCCATAATCCCACTCCATGGCCATCCTCTTGCACAAATCCTGGCTCAGAAATTGTTTGGGATGCTGGAGGGCATGTAGGCAAGAGCCAGGACCAGAGAACCCTCCTCCTTCACACTGAAATGGGCCCTTGTGACCAGCCCCAGAGCCGGGAACGGTACGATATGGCTGGCCACTCCATCCTTCCAGCTCACAACCTCTGACAGTTCCTGGAGTCAGAGAGGCCAGGGCTTGAACCCCACCTCGCTATACCACTAGCCAGCTGTGTAGACCAGTTGCTTAACTTAAGTTTGCTCATCTGTAAAATGGATGCTGCCTTGCTGCCTTGTAAAGTTGTCTGGAGGATTGGGGGAGATTGTGCCTGTGAGTGCTGGTGTCTGAGGCTGGAGTCCCTGGTAGCAGACCTTGGGATGAGGATCCAGCTGCAAGTCATTTATAAAGGAAATGTCTCTGGGGAAGGGACCTGGGGGGAGCAGGAGGGAGAAGGGAGGGAGGTGAGTAAGGAGGTGACGTCAGGCCAGGGCCCAGAGAGGGCCGCTTCCATCTTGACCCCGCGGGGGCCTTGCAGTGTGGGTCACCTCCCAGAGTTGTCTCTGCCAGAGCCGTAGGGCGGGACCACCTGTCAGCTGCTGGTTGACCACAGTGCAGAGAGGAAAATGTAAGTTTCTCAGCACTTTCTGAATGAAGATGGGCAAAATGGAGTCCAGTCTCCCAAAGACAGTCCCCCAAAGACAGAAAGACTAAAAAGAAGTGCAAGGAGATTGGGTGGAGGAGAGCATTGTCCTGTATGATTCAGCAGGTGAGGAATGCCTAATAACCGTTGGTCCTGACTGTGATACCGTTGCTACTGTTTGCATAACTGCAGCAACAATTCCACTTCTGACTATTGTTATTAATTTCCTTGGCTTGAGTGGGCTGAAACTTTCAGACAGATGCTCTGAGCCCAGTGGGTAGACAGGCAAATAAATCTGGCAGAAATAAAAAGCATAACCCCAGCCAGGCGTCTGAGATCCCAGTGCCTGCTTCTCCATGGTTAATTTACTCTTGGAGCCCCTCAACCCCCGAGCGCCCATGCCATCTCCCAGCCTATCTGAAAGAGGAGAGCGGGGCCCTGCTGTGAGGGGTGGTGGGCGGGGTGGAGGCTTGGCCCTGGGGCCCCCGTGGGCCGGATGAGAGCACCTCTTGGAGGGGCGTGGGGGCTGTGCAAGGGAGTTGGCTGAGTCAGTGCGCCGCACCTTGGCGAGGGGCGGCCTCCACCCACCAGCAGGGCAGCAGCAGCTGGAGCTGAAGGCTGCTGGGAGGGAGACCAGGCCTCCCCAAGGGCAGCTGCCCGCTGGCATGGCCCAGCTCACCCGGCACTTCCTGCCTTCCTCCCCACTGCCTGGTGGGCCTTGGGCCAGCGGAGGGCCTCATAGGCTACGAGTGTGCGGTGCCAGGGGGTGTTTTAACAACATCCAGGCTGCCAAGAGCACATTATTCTCTTACAGAAATCCAAGGGATTGCCCAGGAGATGCGATATTTTTGTAGCAAAAAAAAAGGAAAGTTCTTCAAAGCTCCAAAAGCTCTGTTGTGCTAGGAATGATAGTGGGTGATTGAGAATCCGGATTTTTCATTAGAGAACAGATAGGGACTTGGAATTGCTGTTTGTTTGCTTCCTTCACTGAATAGTGTATATTGGGTGTCCTTAGGATGTTAAGGTGAAAGGAACAACTTGTTCAAAGGCAGAGAGGTAGGAAAGGACATGTTTGACAGCTTCAGAGAAAAGAAAAGCTGAAAATCAGGACTCTTGGTTGTAAGAGACAGAAATTCTACCTCAAACCAACTTAGGTGAAGACAAGGAATTCTTGGCTCATGTGATTGACAGAACAAGTGACTGGCAGCTTTAGGTGTGCCCATGAATTGAGCTCTCACCGTATGCTAAGCACAAGCTCGTTACATTGCTGTGTAATTGAATCCTCACAGTGCAACAATACTATGAGATAGGTGTTATTATTACCCCCATTTCATAGGTGAAGAAACTGAGACATAGAGAGGTTCATTCCTGAACCAATGACTAGAGTCAGGAAGACGCAGAGCTCTGACTGGCCGATGAGTCCTGTGCCCAGACATGGAGCCAGGATGTGGACCAGCTGCAACTGAACTGCACAGACTGAGATAGGGAAGGGTCTCCAAATAAAAAGCATGTAGGGAGAAGGGGGAATAATGTGGGATGGGAGAAGTAGAAGATGCCCCAAGTGATGGTAACCCAATTTCAGACCAGTTGTGGGGAAAAGTGAGCTGTGCTATCTTAGGGAATAAAAAGAAGGTTTGGAGAGCCAAACAGCTGGAAGGATGGGATGCAACTGGCCTTCAGGAACAGCTGGAACCAGGCACTCCCACTGTCAGACTGCCTGGACTCCCATCTGGGCCTCTCTTCATGTCTACTTCAGAGGGTTACAAGTACAGATTCCTAGAGAAGGGTTTTGATTGGCTGCATCTAGGTCACATGACCACATTGGACCAATCATCTGTGCCCTGGAGGGTGGGACCACAGCAGAACATGGCAGCCACAAGGTTGAAGCCATGGGAGTAGCAGTGATGGTTTCTAGAAAAAACTGGAGTGGGGTACAGGGTAAATAAAAATGTAGGTGTCCCTTGAGGGCAAGCATGATGTGTGTAAGAGATGGGGTGCTTGTAGCTGCAGGTAACAGAGAACGTCACACCGTCCAGCTGGGCCACAGGGAAGCCCTCAGAGCTGGTGGTTGGGTGGCCCAATGAGGTCCCCTCTCCATCGCTCCACTCAGCCACTAGTGTCAGCTTCATCCTAAGGCAGGTGCCCTCTGGGCCGTGAGATGGCTTCCAGTGGCAGTCATCTGACAGATGAGAAGAGAAAGAGAGCTTCCCATCCAGCTACAGGATAGAAGTTCTTTCCTCCAATCTCAATTGGTTGCACGCCTCCCTGGACCAGTAACTGTCACCCAGAGACCGTCATGCTCCCACTGGCTTAGGCTGGGGTTCCTGAGCCAGTCCTGCTGAAGAAGGTGGCTGGCCATGATCCAGCCGCACCTAAATCAGGACCCACCCTAGAACTGAGGTCCTCTCTAAAACAAATTGATCCCTCAAGCAAACGGCAAGGGGTGAAACAAACACAGGGAGTGTCCATGCTGTGCGTCCTCCTCTCACGACCTCCCTGCCTCCTCCGTGCAGGGGTCCTGTGGCTGTCGGTGGTCTCCGAGGTGCTCTACATCCTCCTGCTGGTGGTGGGCTTCAGCCTCATGTGTCTCGAGCTCTTCCACTCCAGCAATGTCATCGACGGGCTCAAGCTCAACGCCTTCGCAGCCGTCTTCACGGTGCTGTCAGGTAAGGCAGAGGGCCTCAGGCAGCCGGGCGAGAGCACACCGGGCAGAGGGGAATGCGGGTGCTGGAGCCCCCCTCGGGCTGAGTCCTGCCTGGCCCACCTGGGCAACCTCTGGCCAATCGCTTCTCTTCTCTGAGCCTCAGTGTCACGACTTGTAAAGTGGGATTTGTCTGCTCACTTATTCTATCATTCAGCACGTATCTACTGGGTGTCGTGTGCCAGGTAGTGTGCTAATAAGTGCTGGGGTTATAGTAATGAAGGGAAGTAGTTTGAGGGCTTCATGGAGTTAACATGTGGGAGAGAGAGGTGGGTTAGCTGCAGACGTATTCAGGAGATGGACGCCATGTGGCTTGGTGATGGATTGGTTTTGTGACACAAGGGAGAGGGAAGCGGTGGTGAGAATGGGTGGACGGTGGTGTCTTTCGCAGCGATATAAAAGAGGGACCTATTAGGGGTGGCAGGCACATCACTCATCTACCTGAGCTTACCTGCCCTTGAGACATCCGTGTGGAGGTGGCCAGCAGGAAGCCGGATGGGCAGACACGTTTGGAAGCTGGAGGGTGAGTGTGGGATGATCAGAGATGTTGGGCGAAGGCCAAGGATGTTGAGGGTTTTAGGAAAAACAGGATGGCCGGCAGCAGCACGTGACTCAGGGAGGTGGAGGCAGGGGGCTCCCAAGAAAAGGTCGTTGGATTAGGTGGCCTGGTGCCCAGAGTAGTTTCGGCAGATCCAGGGCAGAAGGGGTTAAGCCGGGAGATTGCCAGAAGGGAGTAAAAGGAGCCCCATAAACCATACCTGCAGGAGGCCTGACGGTGTCGGCTTGGCTCTGTTAGACATCTGTTCCTAAAAAGCCAAATGTAAATTGAATTTCTATAAATCTAATCCTATTCTTCACGCACTGGAAGAACTCTATTTAATGAAACCGAAACGATGAGCCCTTTGGTAAGGGAAATAATCGCCCCCTAATTGAGGTATGTATATGTAACAGAAGGATCTCTCAGAGACACAGAGCGGAATTCGAGAAATTATAGCACGCCTGGTAGATCAAAACATGCACGTTGTCATCCCAGGATGTGGGAAATCTAACCAGAATAGTAAAGGGAAGAAAAGAAGCATAGAGTGATGCTCGCAGCGCTGCGTCGATTTTGGCCCCCACTTACCCCGTTTTCAGCTATTTCAGATAGAGAGACTGTTTCTTCTTCTTTTTCGTCGTCTTCTTCTTCTTTTTTTTTGATTCAGTGTGTGTATTACTTGAAATCAGTTTTCATTCATGGTTCTTTTTTTTTATCTTTTATTCATTTACTCAACCAACACTCACTCAAGACCTGCTGGGCATTGAAGGCACTGGACTAGGTTTGAGGGAGTCAAGGAGAAAGGACTCAGTCCTTGCCCTCCTGAAGTTTGTGATCTTGTGGAGACACAAAATCATCAAATGATTGTAACCTGGTGGGTTAACCTCCATGAAGTGGGTTCTGTGGGTCCTGCAGAAGGGCACCTGTGTTTGCTCAGGGGGTGCGGATGGGTGGAGGTGGAACATGGGGAAGGCGCCATTTGAATTTGAGCTGAGACTTGGAAAACAGACTGAGAGTTTACTTACTGGACAACTTGGGGAAGGCATTCTGGGTGGTGGGAACAGCATTGGCAAAAGCCTACTGAGGCAGCATATTCTGAAAACTTCACGTAGTTCAGAATGGTGGGAATGAGCATAGAAAGTTGGGAGAGTAGTAGGAGTATTGAGAGATGAGGCTGGAGAGTCAGGTGAGGGTCTTGGTGCTCTGCAGTGGTCTTTAGATTTTATCATGTGGGCAATAGGGAGCCATTGAAGAATTCAGAGCAAAGGAGGATATGGTCAGGTTTGCACTGGAGGATGAAGGTTCAGGGTGCAGCTCGGATGGAGTGGAGCAAGGATGAGGTGAGAAGGCTGGCCCGGAGGTGAGAAGGGGTCAGGTGCCAACCTCATGCAGTGGCAGTGGGATGGGGAGATGCAGGTACATGTGCCCTCCAGTAAGGAGGAGAGGTCAGCAGGGCCTGTGGACTGACTGGGAGAGGTGGGTGGGAATGGGTGACTATCAAACAACTGAGACTTTAGGTCAGGGGTTCCTTGTGTGGTATCCACAGAATTCAGGCAGTCCAGGAACCTGGATGGGGAAGAAGTTATATCTTTATTTCTCTGACTTATAACTGATATTTATCATGTCCTTCAAATATGAATGGAGGCAACAAATCACAGTGCTGGCGACACCTGTGACGTGGCACCAACAGGAATCCACATTTTTCATCTCACACAACAATTTTTGTGTAGATATCTTGAAATGCACTCCCTCAAAATGAGTGCATGCTTCTTAGAGCCTCTGGTGAATTTTGTTACCTAATATGTTATCAAAGAAGCACATATATTATTATATAACACATTTGTTTGAATATTTTGCTAACTGTATTTCAGTATAACTGGTTTCCTCTGTAGTCCTATTATTTTATTTTATGCAATTGAAAACATATTCTGGGGAGGGGCCCATAGGTCCAGATGGCCAGACCCCCTGATCTGGGCTGGTGTTTGCTTTGGCCGGGACGGATGAGCAGGGTTACCACCAATATGGGGAAGGTGGGAAAAAGCAGGTGGGGAAGATGATGGGTTAGTAAGGTTGGGTGTGATGTGCTGCGGGGCATCCAGGCTCCTGTCCCTGTCCGTGGTTTCATCCCTTCTTTCTCTCTGTTAAGCATGGAAGAGTCCCCTCTGTTATCCCCAGCCATCCAGCCCTCCCCCTCAACTTGCCTACTCCAGTCATAAGACAAAAGCTGGTGGTCAGCCCAAGGCAGCCATCTCCGGTTCTTCAAGCAGGCCTGCCATGGGGAAGTGGGTAGGAGGCTCTTCCCCCACTTCAAAGGGCTCATTAAAGTTTTCGCCTCTCAAAACCCCCCAGTTTCCTTCTAGCAGGGAATCCCACTGCTAAAGAAAATAAGATCATCTCTGTAATTTCAGGCAGATAAACAATGCAGGGCTCAGGGAGGTTAACTGATTTGCCTAAGGTCACACAGCTGGTTTTGGGGTTGGGATGAAAACTGGCTCCTGCTGGCTTCAGAGCCCTCTGCTCTTTTCTCAGGATCTCACCTCAGGAGGAACTGGGCGGGTGGGGAAGGAGAAGACTTTGAAGTCCCCAGGAAACAGTAACTGAGAAGGATGTAGCAGCCAGATGATGTAATAAAACCAAAGTAGCAAATGATGGAGAGAAAGCAATCTGTATTCATGCCTGGGAGAAGATAAACCTGGGAGAAACATGAGACCAAGGGAGAGATGCCTGGCCTAGAGGAGCCAGGAAGCTGGTCTTTCTGGAGCCCCTTGAGAACAGGGCTGGGGGTGAGAGGTTTGGAGGAGGTGTGTGGGCTTCTGGCTTGCTCTGCAGGAGGGAAAAAAACGGCAGGGTCAGGGAGAGCCCATTGACTGAGTCCACGTGGGGAGAGGGTTGGGCCCTGATGCTGCCAGACCAGCTCACACCCGAGAGGTCCTCGGCCCAAAGTCAGCACTTCTAGCATAGAGGAGAAAGCAGAGGTGGGGCAGCCCCTGATGGAACCAATTATCATAATTAATTATAACCAGTTAATTAGTATGAATCATAATAGCCCACACTGACGGAGATGCCATGTTGCACCAGCTCTGGGCTGAGCCTGGGTTAATAGCTTTATTCCTCAATGTCCTGGTGGGAAGGGACTAACACTGTGTGTCCATTCCACAGATGGGAAAACCGAGATGTCTGCATTCACATATCTTGTAAGTTGTTGAACCCAGAGCCTGCCACATAAAGTGCTTTGAGCAGGGCTTGGCCCCCAGAACTTCAGGTTGTCATTGTTACTATTACTGTTACTCCTCGCTGTCCCTGAATAACCTAGGAGCAGATCGTGACCCCAGGGGCCAGCCCTGTCACAGTGAGGCTAGGGCAAAGGGATTTGGACTCTCCAGTGAAGAGAGAAGGGGTGGCAGGGCCAGGCCAGCAGAGCTGTGTTCCCAATCCCGGCAGGAAGGTGGTTTTATAGAGCAGGTTGGTGTCCAAGGGCTGGAGGCGGGGGCTGTGATGGTTGGTCCGCTGGTCCAGAGCCTGGAGCTCATAGTGATTCTAGGGGACCTACAAAGTGCTTTAATTTTGACTGCTTTGAAAATCAGAGGAAAAAAAGTAGAATGATAATGAAGACATAAGAACAAGTCTAGATTGGATTAGATTTTTTTATGCTATTGCCATCATAAAATGTAATTTTTGATATTTCTTTTATGGAGGAATGGGCCCATGAAAGTCATAACGTGGCCCTGCACTGGGCCACTGCTGTTCTCTGTCTCTCAGGACTGAACAAGGCTAATTCCAGCCCAGGGGGCAGCACCAGCTGTCAGGGTCCCCCCACCCACCCGGTCCTGTGACTTCAGCAGAGAGATACTGGGGAAGCTGGGCTCCCTGGGCCCCAGTCTTACAACCCCGGGGGATGTGAGGCCAGGCTGGAGGATATCTGTTCTTCCCCAGTTCCTCCGAAAAATGAGGCTGATGTACTCAGGAAGAAAAGAAAAGTCATTTGGAGAATTCTTGCATGGTCGGGCTAACTGCGGGCTTTTAGTAAAAATTGCACTGGCTTGAAGAGAAACATGTCCATTTCCAGGAAATAATCAGAGCAATAGTGAGCAAGTCTATTTTGTTAAGTAGTGAGAAAAGGAAATTTTGTGATAAAACAAAAAATGACCAAGGATGAGGTAGCCCTTTGGATCTGGGAAACTTAGAACCTTATCTTTCATGGAATCTTGGCATATTTGGTTTCATAATAAAATATATATTTAACTGCACAGTGCATCTCTATTAATCTTGTAATTCATTTTGTAACCTTTAACCATGTTTTATATGTTATTTTGTTACATATATGTGTAATATGTGATTTGAAAATTTTTGTTTTTATTTCTTTTTAAAAATGCAGAATAGCCTAAGCTTAGAAGCAGTTGAATGGGGTCTGATGGGAATGAGAATGTTGT